TAATCATCACATTCTTTCGTCTGTTGTTATGCTACCTTCAATGTAAATTTTTATCTTCTATTTCAAATGTTAACCTTCAAATTTCGACAAAAAAAAATTTGACAAAATTTATTGAACAAAAAAAAAAGAGAGGTCAGAAGACGTAAAACACATTTGATACACAAACGTATGCAATGTATTATGTAACATTGCAACGACGATTATTAAATGAATTTTTTCATGTTTCTCGACCAACATTTGTTATTCCAATATTTCGAGCACCAACTACAACATCAACTATTAAAACTACAATAAATACAACAATATCAAGTACTAATAAAATTTTCTCATCTGTTTTAAAACAACAACAAAAACAAACTGATGTTACAACTACTTTACCTTCTTATTTGAAGAATCGACATATATTGGAAAATCTTGTTTTAACAAATACTATTGTGGCTGCTTTTTGTATCGTTCTCATGATAACATTGATTGGATTTCTTATTTTTCTTCTCATACCGTCAATTCGACATCGATGGCTTTATGGTCAAGAAAAAAAAGAAGAAAAACATGAAGATATATCAACATTAAGTCGACAACCATCATTGCATCAATTTACATTAGGTTCATCTCGATTTAATCCATTATTTGAATCAACAATAGGTACAACAACAACAACTCCATTTGGAACATTATTTCATCCTCATACAGCAACAGCTACTCTTCTTCATCCAACTTTTTGGACACCGATGACATCAACATCTGTTATTTCAACTCCTGTCATATCTCAACAACCAGATATATCGTCACCACCACCAGCACCGCCGAGAATAAAAACAAAAGCAACAACGCCAATGACACCACGATCACCATATCCTACAACAACACTACCGAGATTACCAAGAAAATAATAAACAAAAGAGAATGTTTTAATTTTTATTTATGTAGATATTTCTCTTTAAAGCATTATTTATCATAAGTTTACAATAGAATATTTTGAATACTCATTATAATTATTATAACTATTACAAATGACATTATCAATCAACCTACTTGTAGTTTTTATAATCATTATTTTAAAATAATGTCATCATTCTACTAAATTGTGCAGTTTCAATATCGAATTCGACAAAAAAAAACCTATAAAATCAATCTGTAGAGTAAAGTCAGAGAAAAATTGAATTGATATAATCTTGATTTAATCAACAAAAAATGAAATTGAATATTTATACGAGAAAAAAATAGGGTTACAGAAAAAAAATATTAGTGTTCTAAATTTATGTAGAAATTTTAGACTATTTACAAAAGACAAATATAGAAAATCAACGTGAATATACACGTAAATGCATCGAAATTATTCTACATATATATATCAAACGTTTGAGGAAAGTTTTATTTTAATTTAACTTCGATTAAAATATATATCTGTCATGATTAATACATTCCATTTGTATGAATTATCAATTTTATTACGAATCGGTACAGATATAGTAATATATGCTGAAAGAAAACTCATTGATAATATTAACTATCATTTCTTTTGAAAGCTTCTGGTATCATTATCATTTGATCAATTTATCATTAGTCATGCTCATTTTTTTTTATCTACTTTTATTCATGTAGTTAAACTAGAAGGAATTCAACGAGTGAAGTTTGTAAAAACAAAACAAATTACATTCAGTGTAATAAAATAATTACAATACAATAAAACTTAAGATAGATATAAAACGATTATTTGATATAATATTTTTATACTATCAAAGCATTAGCAGTAAAAAAAACAAAATTGGAACAATTGAACAATACAATAGTATACAAAACTCAATATTAAAGTACAGATAAATAAACAACATATTTTTTGAATAGTTAATTATTTAATCTAAAAGACAGAAAGAAAAAGACAGTTTTTGTGATACTTGGATCAAATTAATAGTCGAGTAATTTCTTCTAAGTTCCGTAGCTAAAGGATAATAGCATTAAATAGTCTAAATGCAAAAAATCATACGAAAGAGTGTAGGTGTGGGAGAATTGAAGGCTCATACACGTACCCACAGTGACATCCACACTATTTCTAAAACTATTTGCATTAATATAATTGTCTAGTTCATTAAATACCAAGTATGAGTAGTCAAGTTTTGCTTGAAGTTGTAAGCCTCAAAAGTCATATGAAACACCTGCTACGTAGGTACTCAAAAATCTTACATCTATCTTTTTTTCCCTTTTAATATGATATGATGCTCAGCTGGAACTTGTATGAATTCATAAATACGTAAAAAAGTACATGTCAATATGATTCTCTACATATTTTATATCGTGAAATATCATTTTCGCAGTTGAATAGAAAAAAACTGAATTGTACATGAACATTCTTTTCATTTTTATTTCATTAAATTCGCTTGTTTTTTTTAACATACAAAAAAAAGATATTGATTTTTGAAAGCTTATTACAAAATTTATTGTGTAGTGATTATTGTATTGACTTGATTGTTCATAAATCTATTTAAGGCTTTTTTTTTTACAAAAAACTAATTTTTATGCTTGAACACGAAAATTTGGTGTTGAAATATAATATACATAAAAACTACATACTGAATTTGTATAAAATAAAAGTGAAGATCTAACATGAAAAAAATATATATATGATGTTTGCTGTTAACTACTGTCTACAAATATTAAATGATAAATGCTTTCAGCTGAATATGGTATAACTGATAATACAATAGTAATAGACATTAATAAAAGAATTCGTGATAATTGTTTATCTACATTTGTAGTTTTGTTAACATTTTGTCGATTTTTTAATCAATTTTAATTGTTTAAATGATAAAAAACCAAATAAAGAAAAGAAAATAATTGATATTATACTATGAAGAAATATTTGAAATATATATCGATAATAAAATAAATAACTAGCTGAATGTATGATACATTGATCAAACTACGTAATATTATAATAAATAGCAATTGATATACTATGTAATTCAATTGAACAAACAATAAATAAAATAATTATTTTTGTTTCTTGTCCTGTTTTACTTAATTGTTTTAAATGAACTTTTCATGATGATACTAAATATCGATAAAATATTTTCATACAAAGACATGACCAAGAAATGATATCAACTGTATGTAAAGTATAATATCGTAGTTTACATAAAAAAACCATATTGTTTTGTGTAACTGGATGTTCATAACCATTAAATAAAATCCGAGTACATAATGGGTAGGTAATGATAATTATATTAGCTATTGAAGAAATTAATAGATACAAAGGACTATTACTGGTTTGATTTTTTAAACATTGTTAATTCGTTCTTGTTCGAAATCGAGATCAATTAGTAAAAACAAAAATATTTAAAATATGTTCAATTAAACCAAATATAGTCATAAAAATACTAGTGACACTCATAAATTGACACGAAAACTTATCAAATTGACTCATGATTTGGACAATTAAGTGAAAAAATGCTTTTAAAAATTATAAAACGAGTTGAATACTTAATAAATTCTTTTTTTGTCAATTGAGTTATGAAAACCCTTTACGTCTAAGATTATTTACGATAATAGTAAACGAGTAGAAGAAAAATGAGCACTGCTTTAAATTCAAGTGTCATTACTTTTTTCATATATGTTATGAGCATCATGTTCAAGAATCCGGTCGTTAGCGTTAGTTGCAGTTCATTTTTTCAGTCAGAAGAAAACGAGAACTTGTTATTATTAAAAAATGCTGTCTCCGATCGTGTCAAAGTGTACAAGCACTGGTATTGTTCTCTTCAATAGATAGACATGTAACAAACTGTAGTTTGATTACATGTAGTATTGTTTTTACTTAGAATTATATTTCTAATGAAGGCAGTAGATATGAAAGGAAATAAGAGAAAAAAAATGAAACATTAGCAGAAAAATGAATCACTGATCTGGTCGAATTTCAAATATCTTTGTAGACAATATCAAATTGTCTTGTAAATCTCGTCAAGTTACATTTTCACTAGTTCTTTCTTCTTAAGCATTATATGGTTCCATTTTTAATTTTGTGCATGAGAACATCAAGCCGATTTCTCAGTTTACTTGCTTGTCATACCTACATATAGGTTATGACCATCAAGTCTAACTAGCGTCAGAAAAGTTGCTTATCTGCTTGTTAGTTTTTCCTTTTATTTTTATAGATATATTCAAGCCAAAGTGCTTCAACTAGTAACAACGACTAGATCAATTCGAGAGATTTTTGAACAAAGTTAAGATCTTCTTCGTGAATGTTTATTGTGCAAATCTATTCAATATTGTTTTCCTCAGATAGCATATATTCAATCAAAAGATATCAGATCTTTTCAGTTTAATTTGACTTAAATAATTTCTCTGCTGTTTAGAAACGGCATATCTTGTATTCATTTAATTATTATAGTAATATTGCCAGAAGAAAAAGTGTAATTAGAAATCTCTTCAAACAGATTGAAAAGAACATCTACTTATCGTGTGCAGTTGAACCAAACGAACATCGACCTTTTGTCAATCATTGATGTTCATAAGCTTCAAATTGTCTATCAAATATTAATGATCAGATAACGTTTTCATATACATACAGGTACTATAACAGTAATAATTTTATGATGTCTATTTGAATTTCGATAGATGTGTCAAACATCTCACCATTCATTTGTTTGGAAAACCTTAGATGGACACTGAAAAACAATGAGAAATGTTCTCTAATAAATATGAATAGAAAAGTGCATGCAAACATGCATAGAAAAAAATTTCGTCTGATAACGGTATTTGATTCTTTTCGAAGAATGATAATTTATCTTGATTACTTGTACAATTAAGATCATAAATGAATACCAATGTCTTGATATCGGAAAAAAAGCATGAATTCTCACAAAAAGATGACATAATCAGTGCAAAAGGATAGAACTTTTTTTTTCTTTATAAAGTCTTAACATAAAATCACATGACAGTAACAAATCAGTTAGAAGTAACACTATCGATATGAGCATTTTCCTAACAGTGACACTTTTCGCTTTCTGTAGGTTAGCCGGACTATTTTTTTTTTAGTTTGATGCAATATAGACAGTAATGTGAGTGATATTTTTTCTGAACTTTGACCTACAGAGTCATGGTGACTTGTAAAGAAAAAATTCTTGTGTCACTATCGTTATCCGGTGAAGCAAATGATTTTTCAGCTTCAGAACATTTAGTTAAGAAAATAAGGATAGAAATAGAAACATAGATATGTTTAAATACATAAAAAAAGACAGAAACTTTCTAGTACTTAGAAAAAGAGAATTTTGTTGTGTTTTTCATTACTTAACAATAAAATAGGAGTATACTAATAAACAATGTAAGTGTCGCAAGAAAAAATAATGCCGAAGATTTTCAGTAGAATTTTCCTACAGTTAGTCAACACTAGTGCACACTTTGGTAGACACATTAAAAATCAAGTAGCACTTGAATGAAGGATGGCTTTGATAGAAAATTAGGAGTGTTGAGACAATTCGTAGCGATGATAAAAATTTCTTTGTTTTTTTTTGCGAAATATTAATATATCATCCATGATTAAGCTTCAATACGGTATTTTTATCAATTTCTACTATGCTAAATATTCATCTAAAAAATCTGTATTCAAGCAAATATTCAGTTTTACCAATACAGAATTTATAATATTATTTTTTTGGTTGATCATGTGTGAGAAACGACAACGATAGATTAACAAATAGTAAAATAAAAACAAATCAAATCTGCTATACTAAACAAAATAAGATGAACGATTGTTTTTTAGCTTTTTATTATGTCAAAACAAAAAACAGCGCATAATTATATTAATTGAAAACTATTCAAATTAAAATTCTATCTTCTTTAGCACAAGAAAAGATTATATTATTCAACAAACAGTTGCTCTGCTGCTGTCAATATCAAC